CCACTTATATTGGCAGGAAATCTGGTGTGGGATTTGCAGTGATGAGCAAATATGGGTATAATACTGGAGTTTATTCTACAAAGCTGGCCTAACATTGCTGCCCAAGGGTAGGAAAGCATAAATATCACAACAGGGGCAGAGATGCAATGTTATTTGAGCATGCTTGCTCTTTCAAACAAAAGCCTCAAGAGTCAAGAGCACAAACTGAACAAATCTAGGTATTTTGATATTGTGTTCTTATTTCAGCAGGAGGATTAATCACGTAACTAATTTTGAGGCTTGCATCAAGTAGCAAATACCACTGCTCAATACCTTGTGCGTAGTAAACAGATAAGACTGTTTGCTTGTAATTTTCTTCACGTATTTCCAAGAAGATGTGCAAATAATGGGGATGGTCTGTGAATATTTCAGAACACAAAACTGTACCCGTATTTACCAGAATCAGTATTTGGAGAATGCTGTTTGACCATCTCTAAAAATCAGTTACGTCGCTTGAACAGAAGTATAGCTTTCAGAAAAGATACACATTGTCAGTAGGGCAGGCATTTAGATTTTGTGCACATTCAGAATTGCATACACTGTATAGTTTTCCAGTTATGTTGCTCTGGCTGGAATATTCTCTTTTTAAGTTGATTGCTTCAAAATACATGCCAGCAAGCATGTATTTTGGTTCTGGCTCATCTGCCAATAATCTCATTGAACTGTTTCCAAACTAAAGAATAAGGATAAACAGTAGTTCAGCGATAGCCACCTAATTGTACTATCAGCTGCAGATACTCAAAAGCAAGACTTTTGCCGGGTGTCTGTCTAGAAGATCCATGTGGCCATATTGTATTAGGTTTTGGCCAGTTTCCTAGAAATTCATCATGTATACATTTGAAACCACAGCCATCGCTGGGTATGTCTGGTGCACGTATGGAAGAGAAATCCTTATGTCTTCAGTAGCATTTAACTTTTTACTTACACATTGTAAAATTTTATGAACCAGAGCTGTAATACAACACTGAAGTGCACAGCCCATTGGTGCTGCTGTAATCATTCAATTGAGAGGCCTGTATGGGCATGATTCAATAGGTAATGGGCTGTATCAGTTCAGCTTGACTGTTGGGAGTTTATTGTTCTACCCACCTTGGTGACAGCTGCTTATTACTGTGCAGTGCTTTAGGGAAGTCAGTATAGGAAATGAGCTCTCCAGTCTTCCCCTCATTATGCCGTGTGGATCACAGTTTTGGTAGGTAAGGGAGGTCTTCACCCACCCTCCTTTCCCCTCCCCATTCCTTGAAGTTTCAGTTCTCAGATTTGTGTGGTTTCTGTCTTCCAGGCCAATCATGTTGGAAAGCCCATCATCTTACTTTGATTAATGCTAATAGGATTTGTGACTGTAAAGCAATATGCAGTCAATTGAGAATCTATGCCAATGGAATTTTTTCCCTTTATTCTGTTGGTTTATATATTATCTTTCATCAGTAGCCAACAGATCTCCTTCTGCATAGTTGAAGGAATCAACTTCAGGAGGGGATAAGAAGGTGTCATCAAATTCAAGTCATTTACTCTCACATGCATATGTAATCATTTCTCTGTACCATGAAATATGTTAATGGGTGAAGAGTCTGTCGGCTCTAGGCCATCAATTTAAATCAGGCCCAAGCTGGCAAAGATCAATAGTCTTTACTCTGTTGTCTGTACAGGACATGGTGTGGAACTGAGCTGGCGAGTACAGCCCACCGCCTGCTGGAGTGTGGTGCATGCCATTGCAGCACATGTTTCGTTTGCCTCCTGCACATCTTAATTGAGATGAAAGATTTAAAGTCTGGTCCCACTTGAAGGATGATTACTGTCAGTGGACTTTAAAGCAGATGCAAGAATATGTGTGCAATCTGAGTAATCCTGTGAGTTGTATCTAGAGGGTGGTTCAGTCGTGATAATAAAGTGCTGATGTTGATGTAAACATTACTGGTTTCTGTTGAAAACACTGAGGCAACTCGAGTGGGCAACCATCCTCACAGCTCTGCTTAACTGAGAATAAATATAAAGCTTTTGTCTTCATTAATAGCATGCTACCCTTGAAACAAGACATTACCTAGGAATGTTTGAAAGGTTTCATTTGCTGTAGACATATCTTCAATTAAAAATAATTTAAAATTTCTTGCTAGAAAACTAAGAAATTCCAACAAATTATTAGACTTCTCAGAAGTTCCTACCCACACTGAACTAACCTTGAGCTGTCTTTACATGTAGAAGGGGTAAGTCAAATCTAACAAATACCCTGCAGCCTTGTTTTCATTCCAAAGACTGGTCTTCCATGTTATGTGTGATGTGCTGCCATTACTACAAGAAGCAGATTAAGCAATCATCTCAATGAAACACGAATAAGTGGGCATACTCCATTAAGCAAAGTATTTGTGGTACCTGTTAAGCAGGATGAAAGTAACCAGAATATGTGAACAGAAGGTGCTATATATTGTTGTTTTTAGAATATCTGGTGTAATTGCCTTTATTATCGAAATGGGATGGTTTCTCTATCTGAATGCTCACTTCTGTCTTTCTCACAGTAGTAAATACAGTCTGATTTTTAGTTGCACACAAACACTGCAAAATCATATGGTAATGTAACTGTGTAGGTGTAAAAGGTAGTAAAGGAGGAAATTTGCTCTCTGGTGTTTTGTTTCTTTTTTCCTTTTCTTTTTCACGTTAATTTCATTTCAGATATACCAAGTAACTGGGGGATAGTGTGGTAGTGGTTGGGGGAACATGCAAGATTCCAATTCACCCACATTTTACTATGACTTAGGAAGTAAATACATTAAATAACTCTTTAAGACCAAATTCACTGGTACCTTACAGCTGTTAGTGCCTATTTTTGTGATGTAATGTGGGCGTAAGTCTAGCAAACTTCAGAGGGACTGCGATAGCTGGCTTCTGGCCTGAAACTTATTTGGAGTCTTCAAGCTAAAGGCTGCAAAGGTCCATAATCTTATGATTCCTTGTATCCTGAGGGAGATCATCTCTTTGTAAGCATAATACGCTGTCTCATAGGTGCACAGTACACTCAAGTTAGATGCTTTGCCACCCCTGACTTTGTAACAAGCATGAGAAGTAAGACAGCAGCGCACTTAAAACACTTTCAAGAGCAGTGTGCGTTTCGTAGGTGTCTGGCAGTGGCTGAAGCCCCAGTTCTCTGCAGCTACCAGCCAGACAAGGTGTCATCTGTAGCAAATCAGACGGCAGGTGACAGCAGTCAGAGACAACTGGCTGCTTGATGTCTGTTTTGTTCAGAGGTACTGTTCTGTGAAAGCAAAATGATTTTTTTCTCCCTTTCCCTATTTGAAGTTAGTAGAAAATGGATGTTAGATGTTGGCTCTACTTTGCTGTCAATTTTTCCTGCTTCTAACTTCAGTAAAATTCCTAAAAATGCTGCCTGTCAGTGCAACTGTTCTTATTGAACATCATCATATTAGGGCACATCAGGCAACTCTGCCTTAGCCTCTTCATTCCTGTGCTGCTGACTTCCTTCTAGTTGCTGGGTGGTGCTGTACTCATGACTCCACCTTCCCATTACCCTCCTTTAATTGCACCTGGATTAATTATCTGTTAATTGTTAACTCCTGTTCAAGCCAGCTGGGGGCTGTTGCACAAATACGCTGCTTTTAGGCACTTAGGTGGCAAGCCATGACTGTACAGAAGTTTGAACAGGGAAAGTTCATGGTGTGGTCTTGCAGCACTTGTATTGTGCATGCATCGTGCAAGCAACTTTTTTGTCCTAAAAATGTGGTTGTTTTTCCACGTAACTCCTAATGTAACAGGCATTCAGCAAGTTTCTTCAACATTTAGATAATCTACAGGCAATTTCCTTCTCTTCAGTGCTGTTAAGAGATCCTGGTTTGGAGATTTATGTGTGTTCAGCATCACATTTCTCATCCTCTGAAGCTGACTTAGCTTTCCATGCAGGGAAGACTCTCACAGGCACAAGCATCCCTGGGTGAGAACTACTGGAAGAGCTCCCACCCCTGTTTTGTTTGTACCTAGCAAAACAGGACCCTCTCCCCTCCTCCTATTTCCCTCTACTGAATTAGTCTGCAGGTTACACTTTTTTCCTAAAAGGAAAGCTATTTAAAAAAATTCACCCAAACATGATGAAGTTTGTGTCCCCTCAAGACTTACAGAGCTGCGAATCTAAGGACAGGTGCTTCCTTTGTTGAAGAGATTTATCAGTACTAGGATTAATGTAACCCTTTTGTTAGGTCACCATTCTGCTTTTCTGTTGTTAAAAAGACAGAGAAAGTAGTAGGGTATTTATGAAGTATTACAGCATCTTCGGCAATTATACTTCTTTAAGATGTTCTGTCTTTCACTGTGTAACTTCTGCTGCTTTTGTTTTGTTTATGTTCCCTTATGCATCCTCCTGAACCTTTCAGCCTTTAGTAATGTGCGGAGTCGGAGTTAAGCAGTGTCACAAGGGAGTCTGACTGTCTTTTGTTCCTAGTGGCAAATTAGTTGAAAGCCAAGAAAGACAGACTCCTGATCTTTTCTTCAGAGTAATTGTGGAATTGTATTTTAAAGGACAAATCTATCCCTGGTTCATGCTGACTTGAATTAACTGTTCTGTTAATCTGAGGTATTTGGGACTTAGAAAGAAAGGGTTTGATTTCATTTGTGCTGTCTAGGGTTCTCTATTGTCTTCAGTTGCTCTTTTTTGTGCCAATACGAAAATAACATCCAAGACTTACCAAAACACTGCGTGTTTGTCTTGCACAAGGTGACATTAGCTGTTCTGTTTGTGTTTGGGGGATCTTTGTTTGTTTTGCTTTTTAAACTTAGGTGAAACATTACAAACGTACAAATTCTCTTCTCTTTATGGTTTCAGATTTATGCAGCACAAAGCATCCTACCATCAGGTGAGGGATCAGGTGTGCCTCGACAACGGCTGAGTAGTGGCAGGTTCTGCCCCACCCTTTATAAATAAGAGAGGCTCACAGAAGTTGTAGAGCTGTAATCAGGAAGGGAGATGCTTCAGAAGATTGCTTTAAGAGTCTGCTGCAGAAGCAGAGAGATGCAGGCAGTAACTTGTCTTCCAGAACTGGAGAGACAGACCACTGCTATGTCCAAGGTGAGAGCAAATACATGGTTGACAAAGGGTTGGATGTGTGTTCTGCCTGAACTGGCAAGGGAATCCATGCAGTACCTGGGGTTTTGCTGCTAACATCTAGCACAGGGAATCTGTTCTCTGCTTCCATGATACCAGTCCTGTGGGACTCTGTAGCTGGCTAAATAAAGCACTAATGGTGCAGAGAGGGTGTGATGGCTGAGTTTTTAAGGTAACTGTTGGAATGAAGTAGGATTGTGAGCACATTAAGTGAAGTATTTAGACGGACCCAATAAAAGCAAATGACTGTAGAAATGTTCTAGATGGGATATTTCATTTGGCTAAACCCATGTTTCTAGGGTGGCTTGTGTGATTTGATTTAACAAGAAATTTTGCTGGCCGAAGATCTGTTTTTAACAGGTGACCTGAATGATGGTTTCTGTTTGTTAATCTGTGGTAATCTCTGGAGAACACTGTTATTGTGCTTTATGCAGTTCATTAGCTCTGAATTGCCTGTATTTTCATATTCTTTTTTTTACTAAATTGTTCTTTTGCTTTCTAACCCTTGATAAAACCTTTTAAACCCCCTCAATTTAAACTCAAGCATGACAAATCCCAAATATTTGATTCGTGTGCTGGGTTTTAGAGAAGTAGGCAGCCCTCTCAGGAAGGGGTATGGAGGAGGAAACATAAAGGATGCTTCTAGAACATCATGTTGTCTCAGAAGCTGGTAGAGAGCAAAGCTGGCTGGAGGTTCTGAGGGGTGCTCTGGATTCTACTCTTGAGGTTTAAGGGTTTGGACCTGCTGGGAATGATGTGTAAGTAAGAAATTCACATCTGCATTACTTAATTACCTTTGCATAACCTAACAGTGTGTTTGGGTTACTGAAAAAGCTTCCTCTAACACCACCAGTCTGGAACTGAACCTTGTGCAACTTGAGAAAATCTATAGAAGCAATGAAAGGCTGTTTTGAGAACTGCTAAACATTGGATGCACTGTTCAGTCCATAATTATAGTCTTTTATATATATGTATTTAATTTTCAAATGCTTAATATATGAGAAAATAGTTTGTACTGTTTATACATCTGCTTCTATTGGCAACTAGAATCCTGCTATTGATGCACTTGATAGCATTCTTGGATTATTTGTCATATTTTGTTCTATGATTATGATCATAGAATGGTTTGGGTTGGAGGGCACCTTAAAGATGAGCTAGTAAGCTGATGGTAGTTTTATTGTTCTCTGTATATATTTAATTGAAACAGGAGAATTTAGTTATCAGAGAAACCTATTTATGTGTCTCTTTCACTAACAGAGTTATGATTAATATACAATTTTTTATTAGAATCAAATTATTAAATATTAATCGTATAGGAAACTCTGAGCATTTTATAGGTTACTGACTTGAAGTACAATTAAGAAAACAATGTAGTTGTTTCCTTTTCTGAGTAGCCTGGTAATTTCTAAATGGAAGGTATTGTGGATTTTCTCTAAGTAAATCTGTAACCGAACCACAAAAATTGCTTTTTTAGAGATAAATGCAAAGGTATACATCATGCTAACGCTGCCCTGCTTTTAGTTAACTCATGTTGTACATTTATTTTAGCGTTAGTTAATACCAACAAATTTACCATGTATGTGATAAAAGGACTACACAACAGCTGTATTCTAGTTAGTATTACAGAAAATAGATTGTAAACCTGAAAACTTGGTAAGTGTAAAATCTGGATTTGAATTAAAAGCAGGGTGTTCACAAATCTGAAAGAAGTTTGTGGCTAACAAAAGCCTATAAATATTCCCACCTGAAATAAGAGAGGAACAGTAAAAAGAAAAGTCAGTAAAAATTCTGCTTCATAATGGCTTCAGAAGGTGATTTATAGAAGTCATTAACTCTCATAGAGTACAGACAGAAATGAGAAATTTAATATATAGAATGTTCCCAAATGATTTCATTCTGTTTCATTGGGATTAATGTGCATTGGTACCCATTTCTTAATTTTCTGCAGTAAAGAAGAGGAAGTGGTAGGTTCACATCTTTGGAGGTTCAAACTGTTGTCCAGGTATGAAAGAACAGCTATAAGTTTGTCAGATAACTTTTTACTTATTCACTCTTGCAAATGTTGTAGGCACATTGCATACTGGGAGGCTAGAATGTGTCCTTGTTATAGATCCAGTGATATAATACCTGGTTCAAAATCTGATTTCACTTTTAAATGTAGAAGCCGGGCCATTTAGTGTCAGCAAATGTGCTATATGATGTGCTCAGGAAAGGAAGGGGAGGAGAAGGGGAGTAACCTGACAGTCTTTTTCTCTGTTGTTGTTGTTTTACAATTGTGCAGAGGCCAAATGAAGGAATAGTAGTCTGAATCCTTTCCCAAGTCCTTTTATGTTACAGAAATGTGCTTAGAGCATCTTCTGGTAGCAAGCGCTAGGGTGAAGAGGAAAGATGAGCCAGAGTTCAAATAGTTCTAGTATCTTCCTGCTGCTTGTCAGAAGGTGGATCATAAATAGCTGCTTTTCTAGCCTGTAGTCTGAAAATCAGTTGTGGACGTGTCTTAAATCTCTGTCAATGGGGAACAATGATACTTTTATTAACAATTCTGTTAGTGCTTCTACACAGCTTACCCCACTCCACCACAACTGCCCAGTTATTCATAACCCATATGCAGTGCCTGAGGGTGAGTTTCAGCATCTCTGATTTCTCTTCACAAGAAACCTTCAGGATAGCTGGACAGTGTGTACCTTCACACCACTACCTTCTATACACACTTCAATCTGCTTAGTAATTGACTTCCTCTGTGATGGGTTAAATATCATAAAGATGATAGGAAATAGATTCCAGTTTAGGGGATCTTGGCTGTACAGTCAAGATCTAAAAAGTGAGTGGTAGTGGGAACCTCATGTAATAAATCATTGCTAAAGGAAGAGGTCATGGCTCATTGGAGCTGTGCTCACTAAATGGCAGATCACTGTTTGGAACCACAGAAAACCTTACACTTCCTGTGAAGGCAAGTGAAATTTGTCAAGGGGCTTGGAAGACAAACTTTCATGTGTGATCTAGCAAGCAGTTAATTTCTTGAAAGGGGTAATGGGCTTACTAAAAAGAGTCTTAAGTTTACTGCAGCTGCATGTTAGCATCTCTTCTAGGATTGACCACAAGTACTGTACTGAGCAACATACCCGTTGTTGTTTGTTCCATGCAGAGCATAGCAAAAAATAGTTTATCCATACCAAAAAAACAGGGAAAACCTTTTCCAGAATAGTCTGGCTTTCTGAGTTTGAGGTACACGTAATGAGTGGGACACAGAAGCACATAACTTAGGACTTAAGCTGTGGAAAATGCAAGTTCTCCCTTTCCCCAGGGCGGTTTTCTTTTGGTGGTCATGCTGCTTACCACAGCTGGCAATGTTTGGAAAGGCTGGGTTGAAACGGTTAAAACCCTTTGAAAGGGGGTAAGTTTGCCTTTTAGAGCAAGTTATGATAAACTTCCCTTTTGCATTAATTCTTTCTGAACAGAAGCTGTATTCAGGAGTGGAACTGCATCCAGACTTGCTCTGATAGAGAGAGCTAAGAAGGAATGTCACATTGTGATCTGTAATTACTGCTTACAGTGATTCCCACCCCCTGCCCCACTATTTATTTTTTAAGCGGAGTTTAAAAATGTTACTTTTTTATTATTATTATTTTTTCCTCCCCTCTTCCCGTAGCCATTCCTGTTGTGCTAGGGAGGAAATTAAATCATGATGTGATGTTTTAACTGCTGTGGGGTTCAGTTTTTAACTCCTATCTACTGCTTGTTAAAGTTTACATTTAATGCCTAGTATGCTTACGTGAGACTACTGTAAGCATGCCCCAAATACCAGCATGAATAATCTATGGGTAGCTGTTCTGACTGACTCATCCAGCAATGATAAAAAAGGTTAAGGAATGGATATGTGAACAAAAGTTTACTTCTATTCCCAAAGGGGATTTGATGAGGGATTAGTAGCTAAGAACCTTTATACTTCTCTCCCCTTTGTTTCACCATTTCCAGCACTCTTCAGAACAAAGCCCGAGCTTGTGTAGTGAGGCAAAACTTTTGGTTTGAACTCGCTACTTAATTTTGTAATACGTAGAATAAGTTTTAGTTCTAATTATACCCTCTTGCACCCAAACAGACTTATCAAATGGGTTGTATTTATTTGCAGAAATGCAGCGTTAACTCCAAGTTTTACTGTGACACTGATGTTTCACTGGCCAAAGTAGAAGTATATTGTTTGTTTTGACTCTTGGGGACTGAAGAAATGCCTCCTTTCCCTGTCTCCCCACTTCCCTGTGTTTATGGCAGGTGGATCAATCTCCCTTTACAGACATGCATCTTTAGGATTTTTCTAACAGAACTGTTGGGGAAGAGGGTTACCACCTGCTTGTTGTGTGTGTGGTTCTGAGACCAGTGACTTGATAAATCCAGCTGCCTGTGCAACAGGAGGCAGCACAGCTATGCAGGTTTTTTCTGGATTTGCTGAGAAGCTACAGGTCTTTCTAAGAAACATGATCAGATGAGAGCCTTCCTTGAGATAATGTAAGAAATACAGAGCATAACAGTGCATAGTGGTAGGTCATTGAATACAATAACACTGCATTGTAGTTCAGTCCTGAATCAATGCGGGATTTGTCCCTTAGCCACAGTCTGTGTTACCAATAGCACCTTGCTGCCTCTCTTCCCATCCCATCTTCTCTCCTTGTACTATCTGTTCACCTCTCATCAAGTAGCTATAGGACTAACAATGAGAACTACATCACCATATGCTGTCTTTGAGATCTCACCAGTAAACATCTTAAGCCAATTGCATAGAACAAGGGTACAGCGTTGAAATTTTCCTTGTAATTTGATTTTTCCTTTTTTTCTTTGTCTGTTAAATCTCTGACGTGTTCCCAGTCTGTCTAAACTCAAGTGTGCCTCTCAACTTGAAATACGTTTTTCAAAGCTTTGCGCAGTGGTGTCTGCAGTTATGACAAACTTCCCTTTTGCATGGTTTACTG